TCCACGTCTGTCGTATATTTTCATATTATCTTTTAATATTTAATATACACGACATGACGGATAGCGACAAGAATAGTATTAATATCATAGACTCAGACGTACAGGCCATCCACTTTCGACCTGTATCATTCATTCCCCACGACCCAGAGGTTTGGTTTGCTGCATTAGAGTCTCAGTTCGAGACTCGTCGCATTACGAGGCAAAGGCAAAAGTACGCCTTCGCTCTCGAATCACTACCCGGGGACCATATAGTAGCTGTACGTGAGGTTGTCCTCAATTCCAATGTACCTAATGCTTACGATCGCCTCAGAGGCAATTCTCAGACATTTCCTCCCATCGAGGGAGGAACGATTGAGGACATTGTTAGCACGTCACCCACTGGGTGATGCTAAACCAAGCCACCACCTCACGCACCTACAATCTCTTGCAGGACCAAGAACAGCTGACTCGGAAATAGTCAAAGAATTGTGGCTCGAGTCATTACCGGCTCACATCCAACCTACCGTAACAGTCCTGCTCGAGGACGCACCACTTCATCAGGTAGCCCTCATAGCAGACAAAATTTTAGCGAGGACTAGTAACAGATACAGCTATATAGTTGCCTCAACGGCACGTCCCAAAGTAGACATGGACGCCGGTAATTCCTCGGCTCAAGGCGATAGGAGCAGGTGTGTTCACACACGTCTTAATTTTCGAGACCGTCGTGACATACCCCAACCCTACGTCCCCCGAGCTCGTTCACGTTCCCACAAAGCCGTCATCACTCGCCCAACCAGGGCATCTTCCAAGCCACGCCGAAAGGCGGCTTCGGAAGCGAGTGAAGGCTGGTGCTGGTTCCGTCGGGTCTGGCGCCCTCCATTGTCGAGCCTCGTGCTCATACAAGGCGGGAAACTCCAAAGCCGGCGAGTATAAGCGATCGTACTCGCCGGCTCTTCCCCCCCGGTTGACCGTTTATTTTATGTGCACCCAGCTTCAAATGGTTTAGTTGAACGGTTTCACCGCCAACTTATAAGTGTTCTGCGAGCACACGAAAACGACAATTGTTACGAAACCTTACTGCTCGTCCTCTTAGGTATCAGAACGAGCTTAAAGGCAGATATCTAATGCTCCGCCGCTGAACTTGTATACGGCACGACATTGCGTTTGCCTGGGGAATTCTTCACATCACGGGGCAGTAACGATCTCGATAAATCAGACTACGTCCATCGACTGTCTGCATTTATGCGAACACTGTCTCCGGTGTCAACTCGTATACAGCATCGACAGGTCGCTCTCCCTTGAGAGTTATCTACCTGTTCACATGTTTTCGTACGAGTAGATTCGGTACGCAAACCATTGCAACAGCCTCACGAAGGACCTTTCCACGTGATTTCTCGTCACGAAAAGACCTTCAAGGTTGATCGACATGGCCGCGTCGAGATCGTCAGCATTGATTGTCTCAAAATAGCACACGTCGATGACAGTGCCCTACACGATAACTTGAGACTCAATGCTAGGCCCATCAAATCTACTAGCGGGATCCTTACATCTACTTCAGGTCCCACGCTAGATACATCAGAGGCCTCATTCTCACGTCCCGGTCAACAGCACGTATCATCTGCACCATCTACGGACGAAACTTTAGTTTCATGTCCAGATTAGCAGACCACGCCGCCCTTGGCTTCAGATGAGATTGCAGGCTCAACAGGTACGAACGAGACTACCGTCTCACGTTCTGTTGGCCGAGTACGCTTTCGCGACTAGCCGTACAACCAACAACGGATACGGTGTAGGACTATTCCTACACTACATGCATGCTACACTTTTCTCTTTTTTGGTTCTTTTATATCCCGCCGACCATCGCCCGTTCGGTATCGTCGACTTCAGTCAACCTTGGCGAATGCTGGCCTGAACACCCACGCTCTTGTCAACGCACTCAGTCGATATTATGGTTTCGAATATTTGGCATACGTATGGTCTCGAACCTGGTTGTCATGGTGGCTTCCGGTTTCTTGGCTCAACGTGGTGAGTAGCGGTCAGGCTTGGTATTCAAGGCATACGCTAGGGGCTTGTGATCGGTGAATAAGATGAATTGACGTCCTTCTACTGCGTGCCGGAAATGTTTGATGGCGCGGTAGGCTGCTAGCAGCTCGCGACCAAAAGCGCTATATCTCGTCTCTGTGGAGTAAGGCGTCGTGAGAGAAATTCCAGAGGTTGCCAGCTTCCGGAGATGTTCTGTTGCATAACGGCTCCTATGGCAAAATTCGATGTATCAACCGCTATACCAAGCGTGGCTGATGGGTTTGGATGCGCGAGGAGTGTAACTTGAGCCAGGGCCGTTTTGATCTCTGAAAACGAAGTTCATGCGGTATCGTTCAATTCTAATTTGCGTGGATTACCGCGAAGTAAGTCGGTTGATGGTCGTAACCATTCTGCCGCGTGTGGGATGATACGTCGGTAGAAGTTAACAAACCCGAGAAATGCCTTCAGTTCCTGGAGTGAGGACGGCACGTTGTACTCTCTTATTACACGCACTTTATCCTCACAAAGTGGTCCAAGGGTGACTATGTGGTGTACCACACGGTTGGTCACCGATGGACTCTCTTCGAGTGACTTAGTTAATGTAGGGAATTTCTCGAATAAAGCGTGGAATTTATCGTCACGCGAATAAAGGTGCCTAGGATTCGGTACGCGTTCGTGTGGGCTTAGCAGCCCATGAATTTACTGTTCGACGAAGTATCGATTGACTGCAGCCTACGTGAATCGACTAGCAATTCATATTGCTGTAGTAAATCAATATCTAGTATGGCTGTGGGAACATCGGCAATGATGAACGTCCACAGATACCGTCGTCGATTGCCCAGGTTGACCGCGAGTCGCCGTGTACCGTGGGTAGGAATGGTTGATCCATTCGCGGCGCGTAGTCGAAGCATTGTAGCTTGCTGTTACCACGTGGTACGACAGAAATTTGGACCCCAGTGTCCACTAGGTACCTAGCGTTTGTGCGGTGATCGTGCACATAGAATAAACGGTCAACCTGGGGGGAAGAGCCGGCGAGTACGACCGCTTATACTCGCCGGTTTTGGAGTTTCCCGCCTTGTATGAGCACGAGGCTCGACAATGGAGGGCGCCAGACCCGAAGGACCGACGGAACCAGCACCAGCCTTCACTCGCTTCCGAAGCCGCCTTTCGGCTCGGGGGACGTAGGGTTGGGGTATGTCACGACGGTCTCGAAAATTAAGACGTGTGTGAACACACCTGCCCCTATCGCCTTGAGCCGAGGAATTACCGGCGTCCATGTCTACTTTGGGACGTGCCGTTGAGGCAACTATATAGCTGTATCTGTTACTAGTCCTCGCTAAAATTTTGTCTGCTATGAGGGCTACCTGATGAAGTGGTGCGTCCTCGAGCAGGACTGTTACGGTAGGTTGGATGTGAGCCGTAATGACTCGAGCCACAATTCTTTGACTATTTCCGAGTCAGCTGTTCTTGGTCCTGCAAGAGATTGTAGGTGCGTGAGGTGGTGGCTTGGTTTAGCATCACCCAGTGGGTGACGTGCTAACAATGTCCTCAATCGTTCCTCCCTCGATGGGAGGAAATGTCTGAGAATTGCCTCTGAGGCGATCGTAAGCATTAGGTACATTGGAATTGAGGACAACCTCACGTACAGCTACTATATGGTCCCCGGGTAGTGATTCGAGAGCGAAGGCGTACTTTTGCCTTTGCCTCGTAATGCGACGAGTCTCGAACTGAGACTCTAATGCAGCAAACCAAACCTCTGGGTCGTGGGGAATGAATGATACAGGTCGAAAGTGGATGGCCTGTACGTCTGAGTCTATGATATTAATACTATTCTTGTCGCTATCCGTCATGTCGTGTATATTAAATATTAAAAGATAATATGAAAATATACGACAGACGTGGATAGATAAACTATAGACTCACCGAATTGACTTGTTTGGAAGATTTGACCAGAGGTTGAGGCGTGTTCCAGAACTTGGGTCACCAATTGTAGCGTGGTGTCGGGTCGAAATTGACTATGAACACCGCTACCAAGAAACACGTGCCAAGTAAATCAGAAGGCGAAGATAGAGCGTAACCAGATTTATTTGGTTGGCGATCTCGTGGTATCGAACGAATACCGAGACCGTGCCAAAAGGAGTACAAGTGGAATCGGCGGGCAAGATTACGAACGTACGAGGTCACAACCCACGGAAAAGTAATGGAGTAGTAATATGACTGTCTTTAGTACATTTAAACAGACGAGCACAGTAAAGCAATCACTGGTACAATTGGTTATAATAATGATTTTTTCCATTAAACCCATCGCGTTCTCTTGGTAAAGGTAGGTCACTACAGAATAAAGAAAAGAAAACGAGAAGAGTGAATGATTGGCATGGAAACGAGGTGAAAATGAATTGAGACGGTTGATTGACATTTAACAAATGAATCATTCACTGTATGATTCTCAGATTTTAACTAAATGATTCTGTAATTCTTCATTCAAATACATTCGGTTATTTACACTTGTGTTCTCGTTCACTACAGCTCTATGAAGTGTAATATTTTTTGAACTACTTTGAAGATAATATATTTATACATAGTTGCTGCGTTCTTATTTACATCAGCAGTGGCTTAATGGTTAGGATGCTCAACTTTCGGCTAAATTAGGAAGCCCACCCCTGCCTGTTTCGGTTTTAGTAACCGAGCAAGAGTGGCTCATATGTATGTACTTGGTGAATGAACATTGTGTTAAAAAGTCTGTATTAAAGTTATTTTTGATAAATACTGGCTGTTCAAATAATTTGTATTGAACTATATACAGACTTGGTTAGAGTAAGCCAATTTATTGTGGTATGCAAAATCAAACAGTGAATTTGTAAAATATGAAAACAATATATCAAATATACTGTTTGCACATCTTCCTTGAATCGTCTCTTACAACTTTATTGGTCTTCCATTCCAGTTGTTATTTCGATTACTGTTTGTTTCTCTTTCTCCTCAGTTTATTTTCTCCTTCTGTCCTTCAGAATTCTACTTTAGATTCCTGATACATACTACTCATATTTGTCTGTACATATCATACTCGTCCCTCTTTTAATAAGTCGTTCTAGTCGCTGTACCTTTTTCTCCGTCACAGTCTGTACCCCACTCTTTGTCAATCCTGCAGGCTCACTGACCGTCATTACTCTGTCGACAATCTCATTCTGATTTCCGCCCAATATTCCGGACGTTCCACCTCTCCTCTCTGTCGACAACGACAGCTACATCTAACTCTACCTTGTCAGATCATTACATACAATACTTAACTTTTCTCTAATTTTTTATTGAGAACAAAAGCAAAAAAACGATGCATTTATAGTCTCTAGAATCAAACTCATTTGATTTTATCATCGTACATAGTTCATGAATGATACGGATCAAAAATCAATTGTATTGTTATCTGTAAGTTAGTCACATTCAAAGTAAACACAATTGTATACCCAAAATAAAGATTTCTACTATGTTACAATGTACACAGAATACATACACAATCGAAACTATTGAAATCTCTATAACAAATTACATTTGAATAATTCATTTCATTTAAATAGAGTGAATACATTTAGAAAATGTTCTTGATTTCAATCATAAGAACATAATAGTAAGATTATGTAATCAACAATCTAAATGAATTGATTCATTCAAACTGAATATAGAATGAGTTTAGTCCGTAGGTCAATAAATTTACACACACAAAAAGACATTTTAACAATGAGATTTATTATCATTTTAATGAAAAGAACCTTATTGCTACTTAGTCAAAAGATAAGTATATTTAAATTAAATTCGATCATAACTACATTAAGGGCCCCCAAATGCCACAGTACGGTCGAGAGTCAGCTCTGACTCTCCAAGTGCTCTCATATAGTCACGTGCGTATAATCAGTCAGCTTTCTCGCACCACGGGTGATGTTTACGAAATTGAGAGGACGAAAAGACCATGTTTGGTGTTTTAACCGGGCTGGTGGATATGGAGGATTCACCTAGGAGAGTTGGAAAACCCTGATTCCAAACCAATACTCTTAAGGGAACAAATGGTGTATTAACCTATTACTGGTTACCGACTACCATAGGACTGCATCTCCTTACGATGTTCCACTGTCTTGTGGATCAGACCTATGAACTATTATCATAAGACTGACTATTCTTAAGTTATGCCCTGTCTATCAATTACTATCTCCCTCATCTACAGACACTTTTGGCCAAATATTGTACAAATGTTATTTTCTATTTTATGGTACGTTGTGATCTGTTTGATTGGCATATAAACTCAGTATGTTTGAAATATAAGGATTCATATTGCAGAGGCTCAAATTGGTGTTCTGGACTTAACTGGCTGTACTAGGCGGGAAGCAGGACCAATAAGGACTCTAGACTGCTCGCACGTGTTTTACACGTTCACTACTCTCCAATTGGCGGTATCGTTGCGTTAACCAATATACAGGGCACACAGGTTCACAGGTTAAAACATCAATAAATATCAGGAATAAATTTATCACAAGAAGAACAACAAAGAAAAAACAAGTCAATACTAGAAAGAAAGTCAAGAAAATGAAAGTTTGATTATTATGCATGTTTGTTTTGTTTATATTTAATCCCATTGATAAATTGAAATAAAAGAGAATGAAAGAATCACTATGGAGGATTGATTACACCAGATGATAAACAGTAACACTAAACCCAGAATAATGAAGCCTGGTAACAACAGTAAATAATGATTGATTGAAAAATAAATGGATAAATATATTATATGTATGTTTCTTTGTTAATTGTTCATGAAAAAATCACTCACTTATTGATTAATTACATTGGATTAAGTTTCATTAGATCATTTGAAGGTAATTGAAAGGTGTTTTTTTATAGTTTTTCTCATTACTACTAATAATACTACTGCTATCCACTACTACTTAACTTTTACTCCAGTTGATTTCACATCAGTACTTTGAACTGAATCCAATTGTTTACCCAAATATTCCCTGTAATAAATAAAACAATTTTAGGAAATATGATGATATATATCAGTCAGTCAGCAACAACGTAGAACTTCGTGCGTACGTACATCAGTTCAAGTTGCTATACCACATTAGCACAAAGACACAATTGTCGTTTTAAATCCCATAGTGGTAGAGGAAGTAAAAATATAAGCAATAATCGATTGATTGAATTTAGACATTAACATCGTTTGATGCTGACTCAGTGGTCTAAGGGTTAAGCATTCGTGTGCGAGACCGAAGGTCATGGGTCCGAGTACTGTGCGCAGGATCATGGAGGAGTCCTACACTAGGATAAAACAGTCGTTCAGTGCTTCCAGGTTTTCGATGGCTGTCTAGCATAGATTGACTCATGAATTTAACTATTAAGATTATGTGTTCACCAAAAAAGGAGACTCAGTAATTCTATATCCGGTTTCATCCGTATGGTAGTGGGGTAAATACCAAAATACTGAAGAGTACTATATTAGAATAAAACAGTTGTTTTATTGCTTCCACATCATTTTTAATGTCTTATAACGGATTATTTTATGAAATTAATATTGAGAAAACCAATGACTAAAAGTCAGTCATCATCAAGTTATAGACTGGAACAGATGTCAGTCCAAGTTGCAGATTATCTTAACATGACGTGATAAAATTAACAAAGTAAATGGCAAAAGAGATTGGAACTATGTAATAGCAATGATAATGAGAAAGAATCGATATTGAGAATATGGTTCAAAAAGACAAAATGAAAACGTATGCATGACAGAATACTGGATTTCAAGATCAAAAGAAAGACAAGGAATGAATGCATCTGAACTGCAGTGAACGGTTCTGAGTGATATCACCCAATCTCCAAAAAACCGATCGTGATTAACGCACAGTTTCCCAAATAGGTAGTCCGAATCTACTAACAACGTTTAGACCAATAGTCAATGACTCCGTAGACTGATGTTCTTTCTGGTCAGTCATTCTAATTTATGGCTTAAAACAAGGCACATAGAAGTAAGAGAAATACGTAGTCTGCAAGTAATTTGTCATGGGTGTTTTCGTCATTTTTAATGGAGCAACTGAATAAGCAATGCCGAAATGAAAGTAAGCTTACTAGATATATACGGTAAATCTTCATTGACTGAGGTGGTTAGTTATACATGCCTAACCACCTCCTGTTACCTATACCTGCAATCTTGGCTGGTGTCGGAGCGAGTTTTAAAAAAGGTAGGAGCAGTCAAGTCAACATATGGCTTTAGTGTACGAAGTTACTGGCCATGTTAGTGCACAATACTTAGTTAGGAGTCGCACGGTTATCGTGACTAATAGTTGAAGACACTGAGTGAGACGATTCGGAATTGGTGCCAATAGTGCACGATGATGCACTCTTTCTTCGTCACACTTTCTATTCCTGGAATCTATCCATTCATTTCGTATCGTATTCTTCTATATTTAGCTTCTCTGATTATAATTAATACTACTGTTATTTCAAGTATTTTCACCATTTCGTTTTGGTGATGTGGTATAGTAAACTGGACTGATCGACATTTATGTCAAGTATCATGTTGATGATGACTGATTGTTCATTTATGTTTTTTTTCATACTAGTAATAGATTGATAAAACAAACACCTACACACACTATCGTCGTAAGTCCTACTAGGAAGCCTTTGATTTCTTCACTTTAACAGATAATAACATGATATTACATCACAAGATCAATAGGTTATGTATCAGTCTTAGGATGTCGGTCATGAGGTAACGTGTTCGCTTGAGAATTGAAAGTTTGAGGTTCGATATGCGGGGGAGTTGTACACTACTGATATACTTCTAACTAGAATTAAACAGCTAAATGTCAGTTCATAACAAATATTGTATGAAATGTACACATATCTATCTACTTCTCTATATGCTTACCAATTATGTACCATTATCTTTTGTAATGAAACTAGTGCATTATAACGAACATTTGGATCATCATGCTGTAGTAAAGCCATCACTAACTGTTTACCGCCAAGTGTTTCAATTATTCTACAAGTGGAAAGAAAAAGAGGAACAAACAATACGAGATACATAAATGTTTAACATGAATACCAGTGAGGAAAAACATGAATTAATCAAGTAAATGGATGATTAGTCATTGGTAAAGAACGTAAATACTCCTAAAACAAACATGATGAAACGATTAATATCCTCCAGAGTAGCTGCTACCTTGATGTAGTGGCTGGATTTGCTTACAGTGATGATTCAGTCGAGTTATACTGGCTGGAACACCAGTTCCTTCAGATTCAAAGGTATCAGGTAGGTCGGTTGGAAAGTAATGAGATGAAATTGACAGACTTAAGGTACGACGGAGAAGTCGTTTTGTCGACTGTTTAATCGTATGAAAGTAGTAATGTGTTTCCCTTAGATGACCACTTTTTGTAGCAGTGCTGCCTTTTCACTAAAGAAGGTAACAATTAGAAAATGTAGACCTTAGACATCTTATATCTCATCTTAACCACACAGATTTACGCCACCAGCGGTACGAGCTTTAAATTACTGAGCTAAGTCGTCTAAAACTACCTGAAAAAAGCCCGTACGTGACCGGCATTAAGGAATTGTTCCATAGAGACTGAGGCTACGATCCTGGGTTGCCAAGATCACTCCTAACCCAGTTTCTTTTCCAGAAGTATCTCTCCATGGTGTAGGCAACCGGAAAAAAGTTGTCCCCATACTCCTAACGGTATGGGGAAAAATTCGTCATTAGTCACAAAATTCATGTCAACACAACACAAGCAACAAAAGAGGGTAATTGTCAAGATAGAAAGCAAAGAAGTGATACTCATAATAATAAAAATCAAACTGATGAACCAATTATTTCGAAGATAGTTCATATCGAAAGAATGAAATCGGTAAATGAGAAGTATAAGACAATGTTTTAAAAGTTATGAATTCAACTTTTACTGAACCCCGCGTAATAGGATCAATACATTATTAAGTTCACCAGTGACGAATCCGCCTTATGTCAATGACATCTGCGATGGTGGAGAAGATTTGTAGCTAATGTGGGTGATTTTGATGGAGTTTTGTTCTCTGAGCTGGATAGTTTGGTCATGAAGCCTTCATCGTTCTTCTGAACGACATCATCAACACAAACTTCAGGTAGAATTGAAGTGTTCGAATTTTTCCATATGTGATTCACAGCTTGTCCTGTAGACTTTGGTGTTGATTGGCACTTGTTGACCTTAAACCTATCATTGTTTCCTTTTATGTTTTGGCTGTATCTTCCATTGGTTTGATTTTAGTTCCTCTATGTTTGTGTATAATTTTCCTGATGCTGCTAAAACTACACTGATATTCAACCCTTATAATTTCATCTTATCGTGTTGATGCGATGTAATAAGTTGGTTTGCCAGGTTCTATGTTGCTTATCACTGACTGTCTAACTTAGTCCGGACACTCTGTAATTTGTACATCAAGAGTTACATTAAAATTTACTAAACCAATGTCTATGAATGATTCCGTACAATGTTGAAATATACGTCGAAAATCGAGTATATTTATCTTGTGATACCGATCCAATGATCGATAGTTTCTGTGATGTATTCAACAATGTGAAATCTTGAATTAAGAATTAAATATTTAGTTGATTTATAATTTCGAAAATATCGTGCTCGTGGAAGGACTTGAATTTCTAACGGTTAATCATGATCATCATCTTGGGTGGATATAGTGTACATAAACTAAGAGTAAGTTGTTGTAATAAATGAAGGAAGGATAGATGTCTTTTCAAAATAACATCGTCTATGAGTAATCTGTATAGAATGCATATATGTCAAGACAGACTAATCAATTGAAGTTCTAAACACAAATGGGAAGATTTAAACAATCAATACAAATGATATCGTCTATGATTCAAAATCAATGATGTTGTTATTATGATTTGAATTCCATTCCTATTAGCTAGTTGCGAGGTGGAACCTGGTATGTATGTATATCGGTTTAAGTTTCCATATCTTATTGGTACAGGGAGATATGATTGACAGATTAAACCTCAGAATAGCATGGGTAGTAACAGTATCAGTAGTAATAGAAACGATCAGACATTGAACATACGATTCGAGAAAAAAATATAAATTAGTGAGATAAAAAGTAAAACAAAAGGTTATGAGGAATTCAGAAGTTTAGAATTTGGGGGTGGGAACAAAAAATAAATACATCTGGGCCATTGCAAACGATTTTGAGTTGTGCCATTCAAAGTCTCTAGCCACTAGCTACAATAAACACACGGAACTATGCATTTTGTCAATTTATAACTCGTTGTACTAATGTAATGAGACAACACTTTCAGTCAATACACATTTGTATTGGACTCAATGATTGTGTTTATGACTAACTTATTGACTGCAATAGAACACAATTTGAATTTGTAATCTAGTAGTTGACATTTAAAGTTAGAATAACGCTAACAACATTTAATAATGAACTTACTGTTTACCACGTGGATAATGTCTTACAAACTCTCCAATATCGTGTACAGCCACAGATAATGTTAATGGATCAGTACCCAGTTCGACTAGTCGTACTAACATTCTAAATGGTGAAAAATCAAGAAAGAATATTCAAATAAAGAATTTATAAACACAAGTAAATTTATAATATGATATCCACAAAAAAACATATGCTCACTAGTGACTGGCTTTAACAGGTATTTCCTAGAGTTTTAGTGAGAAGCAGTGACCAGTGGAGTTCAACCGAGTCTATTACGCGAGAGTTACTCACTGAAGACACCTGGCCCAGATGACTTACCTCCGGCTCTTTTTAAAGATGGTCGTGACTCTCTAACTAAGGAATTGACGACGTTGTTTACCAAGGTTTGGGAGCTAGAGAGTGTACCAACGTCATGGAATGAGTCGATAGTTGTCCCTATCTTTAAAAAGGGTTCACGTCGTTCCTGTCACAACTATCGGGGGGTAAGTCTACTTCCGGTTGCGTCCAAGCTATTGCCTTCCGTCATACTTCGTAGGTTGCTCAAAACTCGAGAAAGATTGACTCGCGAAGAGCAGGTTGGGTTTCGTTCCGGTCGAGGATGTATTGATCATATCTTCACCCTCCGCCAAATGTTAGAACACCGCCATACTTATCAAAGGCCAACAATCGTAGTGTTTCTTGACATCAGGGCTGCCTTCGATTCGTTGGATAGGACTGTTCTATATACAAACACCTCAGGCAGAGTGAAGGCATACAACCACCTTTCTCCATTGTTCCATTCAATCAGTGGGGTTAGGCAGGGTTGCCCAATCTCACCATTCCTCTTCAACTTTGCCATCGATGACATTCTGGAAACAGCTCTGATGAATGTAAGTAATGGTGGTGTGGATCTGTTGCCTGGAGAAAGACTTCTCGACCTTGAGTATGCAGATGATATTGTCTTACTGTGCGATAATGCCCAATCCATGCAATCCGCACTTAATCAGTTGGCAATCAGTGTCCGTAGGTATGGTATGTGCTTTGCACCTTCGAAGTGCAAAGTACTTCTACAAGACTGGCAGGATTCTAATCCTGTACTCACCCTGGATGGTGAGCAGATAGAAGTAGTCGAGAAGTTCGTGTATCTGGGTAGCTGCATAAGTGCTGGTGGGGATGTGAGTGATGAGATCAATGCACGTATAGTGAAAACCAGAGTGGCTTATGCCAATCTGGGCCATCTTTGGCGCCTTCGTGATGTTAGTCTGGCTGTGAAAGGTCGGATCTACAACGCGTCGGTGAGAGCAGTTTTGCTCTATGCTTGTGAAACCTGGCCTCTCCGAATTGAGGACGTTAGACGACTCTATGTGTTCGATCATCGCCGTCTCCGAAGGATTGCTGATATGCAGTGGCAACACCATGTCAGTAATGCAGAGGTTCGGCATCGTGTGTTCGGGCACAGAGATGATAACTCAATTGGTGTCACCATCTTGAAACACCGACTTCGGTGGCTTGGACATGTTCTCCGAATGTCGTCCCAGAGAATTCTACGTCGTGCATTATTTGCCGACTCTGAGACTGGTTGGAAAAAGCGGAGAGGTGGTCAGTACATGACACGGTGTCGTGGCATGAAAGAAAGCTGCAAAGGACTGGCTTCTGTCGGTCCTTCACGACTCCCTGGTTGGGGTCCGACAGATGGTGCTACATAGTAGCCAGAGACGTTATCAGATATGGTTCAGAATAGGAACTAGTGGCGATCCTGCTGTAACCTTCTTTCACTTTCTTCATAAAAAGTGGTTGTGTCTTCCTTAACTGAAAGATTTCTTTTGATTGTACCTTTCCGTTCCCCCATTTTTACCATTATTATTACTACACCATCTTACATCAATCTCTTCGTTATTATTCTCTTTTTTCCTTCCCCTTAAATTCTCATTATTTTGTGTGGCGCAAATATATTTGGCGCATTCTTGTACCAATATTTATGTGTGCAAATAAATAAATAAATAAAATAAAAACACTGAAGACAGTGGTGGATGTGTCGCTCAATTTCGTGGATTGGTTGAAGTTAGACATTAACTCTGTTGGATACCGGCTCAGTGGTTTAGAGGTTAAGCGCTCGGGCGCAAGACTGACAGGTCCTGGGTTGCAATCTCGAGAAGCGGGATCGTAGGTGTGCACTGCTGAGGAGCCCCACAATGGGACGAAACCGCCATCCAATGATTCCAAGTTTTCTATGGTGGTCTAGCTTTAATTGACTCATGACCTCATCTAATAAAGTTTACATAATTATTGAATTGAATCTATTTCCGATGAACAATAATGTAAGAAAGGCTTTATTTTAAATGTTTTTTATTTTGTTAAACTTACTTTAACATTTCATAATTATTATCTGTAAATTTTACTGCATTTTCATACCAAAACTTTTCTGATTTATGAACAGGTGACCATTCTAATCGACCAGATTTTAATTCAGCCATATATTCATCAAGACTACTTACATCTTGAATGCTAGCCGATAATTTCTCCTTGAAAAAAGAACAAGTGAAGTTTAGTAAGAATATGAAAAGTTGATATGACAGTTGATTTTCTTGTTGCAAGAAAACAGTAATTAAGAAGCTAAATAAACGTCAAAAAACCTAACTGAAACTCAAGGTACATGGAATACACATTACAACATTTTAGAGATAAAGCGTAGTAGTATATCATATACAACATAGAATTTAGGGTAAACATGACTGGATGACCATTTCGTCCTAGTATTAGGAATCCTCACCAAGAGCATCCACGATCACGTACGCGGAGCTTGAACCTAGGAACTTCGGTCTCACACGAACCAGTTAGTATGAACCTAATTCTAAATGGTCCAATTCAACAGTTCATGACTTCATAGACTAATAACACACCCTGGTTTCGCCCCAAAACCAGGTATGCATATAACTACATAGTTGGTATACAAATAGTAGTAAAAATATTAAAACCGTTTCACATGAAAACACCCAACAAAGATTGATATGAAGAGCCGATCAGAAGTGACCTAAAGGACAAGTGCATTTCCTTGGTTAAAAAAATGGCTTAATTTCCTACGGATTAGAGTATTTGTACATTTTATTCGGTAGTTCAATACATTCAATTTCTGTGGGGCCCGTTATTTTGTCGTCATTTAGATCGGACGATGTTGTTGAAAGGGCTCTCCACTTTAGTGGCCCGGGATCTGACTCCAAGTAGATCGCATGAATGATCGTTGTCGAAACATATATGTCGCCTATCCTCGTGTATAATCATCGACTTAAATCGCGTTAGTCAATAACGGAATTAAATAAGTCAACAAACGAGAATAGACTTTTGGATACATATATTTTGTATATGAAGCGAATGGAACAGAGAGAAGAGAAACGACGCGCAGTGGAGATGGCGGGTAATCCAACTCCCCTCTTAGTCAAGCGTTAATCAATAATTATAGGTATACAAGAATAAGTTACAGACATGTGATGAGTAATGGGATAAGAAGTGTACACACATATATGCACTCATATAAAAACAGTCAGGATTGATAAACGAATAATTAACAAGGTCAAAATGTGACTCAAGTAGAATGAATAGATTGGGCTGTCCGAAAGCGAGAATAAGATATATGGGCTTAACATAATAACCGACACTACATTTCTCACTCAAGTAGTCAGCTGAGGAGGGGGCGTTAGCACATAGCACACCATATATCAGTATCAAATTTTAGACATCGTCCGTGTTATAACTTGTGAAGTGAATGCTGATTGTATTAGCTCTTTTAATGTTACTTTTTGTATCTGGTCGTCGCTGATTGTTATGTCGGAAACGCTTATCACTTATACTTGGAACGAGGGACCTCTGCAATTCCCACGATGCGAAAGTAAGAACACAAAGACTGGTATAAGTGATGACTTATTAACCCCAAACCAAGACGACGACGATGATGATTCTAGAAGAAAATACACTCATTTATATATTGATTGTACACCCATTTGAATTAATAATTAGGATGAAATCACATACTGAGCATAGTTCTAATCAATGGAATACAAGAATATTGCATATTATACAGGATAGAATATCATAAGAGAAAAGAAAGCAAATACTGCATTGGGTAATCATTACATTGAATCAAAAACGGAAATAATCTTGAACAAAACTCATGATGAGTAAATGGACTTTTCTTTCCATCATATCAATCCGTCACAATAAAGATATTATAAGATCTTACAATGAAAGAAAGACTTAACTTACATTTAAGAATGCAATATCTTCAGTTAGTTCAGGATCATGACTAAAATCTTTTTGATTAAGCAATTCTAATTCTTTTAAAACTTTATATTGAACTAAGCGTAAACCACAATCTCTTTGTTCAGCGTTTGTAGGTAATTTTTCTAAAATACTCTGTAAAAATAGTTTTATATGAAAGAGAACAACATTAAGGAGAGAAATAAGTAGATTTTCTTCAAGATTAAATTGGGATTAAACGTTGGGATATGGCTACACTTACTTTAAGCTTAGACAATTAACTAGTGTAATTAGGGTCGTAAATGTAATGGACATTATAAACATAGAGCGTTAGCTTACCGTACATAAATCCCAACTATTGGATTAAAGTTTGGGATATGGCTACATTTACTTTAGCTTAGGTAATTAACTGGTATAAAATCATCATAATTCAGTGTCTTTTAAACTTGTGATCAGTTATTCAATAACATTATGTAAATAAAGCTATATCTGTGGAGCAGAATGCATTGTTCTACAGGGGAAATAGTGAATAGTACATTCTAAGTGAATGTTCTTAGTCACATAAGTGATCGTATGCGACGAAAGTTGTGTAATGATGTTACATCCAATCTGCGATGCATGAACTATGGAAATTAAGAGATATACGTAAAGCAAAAGTACACGATTATCAATGTCTTCGATTCATGGTACATTTTTGGTGATAAATCAATGAATTACGTAACACTAATTTTAAGAATATGATATTGGATCAAGGTAATAAATAAATCGACGACAATGGGAACTTTTATAAACTGAATTAGCAAGTAGCGTTCACCGTAGTTTGATATCGATTCCTACCACAGCCATTGATATTATTGCTTTCTATCATGTACAACCACATATTTCTACACGGTAAGTAATTGTTATAACGTGAAAATAAATGCTGCTGATGGGATAGCGAATTATTGATCGGACCAAAGACGCGCAAACACGTAGAACGACCAAGAGTTCTGATTGGTCTCGCTTCCCTGTATAGCCCAGCCAATTGAGTCCAGAACGCAAGTCACAGCCTCGGATATATGAATCATTTTATTTCAAACATACTTTGTTTATATACCATTCAAGCAGTCCACAACGTACCATAAAATAGAAGATAACATTATACAGTAATGGCCAACAGGAAAATAACACGTTAAATAAATATTAACCAATAAGATGATATCATTTCATGTCCAAGGATAGCATTAGGACTAGCAGAATAATCTTTGGGATATTTTCCTGAATATCCCAACAGTAATCCAACTTATGGTAACTATATATATATACATAGCCCAAAAATGCTGTGGTACGGTCGGGGGGGGTGTGGAGAGTCAACTCACCATCTCCTAAATGCTCCCACATGACCACGTGCATACAATCACTGACACGAAAGTCATACTCAATGCCTTCTCGCACCACGGGTGTTGTTTACGAGAGAGGACGAAAAGCGAATGTTCGGAGCTTTAACTGGGTTGGTGGACACGTAGGACCGATCTATTAGAGTTGGAATACCCTGATTACAAACCAATACTACACAGAGACTACAGGATCCTGAGGGAACAAATGGCATATCAATTTACTGTTAGTCACCAACTACCATGGGACTGCATCTCCTAACATTGCTCCACCGCCCTGTGGATTGGACCTTTGAGTCAAAGGCTCGGTGAGTGGCCACCTAAGAAAACCTCGTGTTTCGGTATGGGCGATCGAGCAGTACTCCAGCCCTCACACAAATCGAATGATTTATGTGGCGCATATATATTTGTTGCCTGTTTGTAGCAATATTTATGCATTTAAATGAATAAATGATAACTATAAGAAACTATACTGTGACATTTCTGTGTATTAGTTCGTTAATGCAATTTTCATATAGCAATATTTGCTTTTTATTGAAAGCGAATTTTGTCAGCTACGATAGAAGGATTGTAAGAGAAGCATGATTTTGTACGAAAAAAAAACATTTTGAAGCATACATTACAAAATAAAGCCTAGAATTTATTTACGTTTTAACAAAAAAGGGTGTTTGTGTTTTCGATGGAGTTTTTTTCTCTGAGCTGGATAGTTTGGTTGTAGAGTTTTCATTGTTCTTCCGAACAACATCATCAGCACAGACTATACAAACTTCTACCTGAAGTTTGTGCTGATGACGTCATTCAGAGGAACGATGAAAGCTCCACGACTAAACCATCCAGCTCAGAGAACAAAACTCCATCAAAACCATCCACCTGTGGTGTTTATGTTATCCGTACTTATCTCGTTAAGTTATATGATAAATAGTACTTTTTACAGAGGTGGATACTCGCACTACTTGAAATTTGATTTCATGAAACAATGAAGCTTTTAAAACACAACTCTACGATATATGCCGCAAATATGTACTACTATACACTTATAGAGCAAAAAAACTACATAGCAACAATGAGATACTATAAATTAATCAGAATCAACTAACTTACACGAAAGAATGCCAATGAAATTCTAGTGATTTTTTCTCGATCTGCTTCAAGGAAAATATCAGCTACAGTAGCCAATAATGCAGAATTCTTACATATATCAGTTACATGAATTGAATCAAAACTCATACACCATAAGCAAAAAATTAACTGATATTGTAACTGACGACTAGTTGATTTTTCTTGTAAAACATCTCCAATGCTTTATAAATGAAAAAGACAAATCTAATCAAAATAATTAATACTAAACAATGGTGAAAATGGATTTAATTATGCGAATTCAAAACGAGAGTTTACAGGGGTATATTCGATGGAAAAGAAAGGTAAATGAGATAGTTAGTCAGTTAGCTACAACGTAGGACCAGGTACATATGTGCATGGGTCCAAGTTGCCATACACCACTAGCACAACAAGATGAATACGGAATTCATACAAGTAGTTAATTCAGTGGTGGTAATATCTAAAAGAAAGATTGTATATAAGGATATAATACAGGAAGAAAGAATTAGTTGGTAGAAAGATATGAAGCGATTTTAATTTCATAGTTTAAGGGAAGACAGTGTATACACCTATGCCATTGTGATCGATTCTGAGCCATGTCACACAGAGTCTCCAATCATTGGTTAAGATAGTCACGCGGACCCCAACCACGCCATGTGCATCTACCAACATGGCTCAAACCAGAAGTTAGTGACTTCAAGGACTGATGCTACGTTTTGGATGAGATAGTAAAATATCTTAGTAAGATTTTTATTATTTTATTTTATTTGAACACATATATATTGGTACAGGAGTGCGCCGGATATATATGCGCCACACAAAGTGGGAAAAATGGTCGTAAAATGTATACAAGAAACGGATTAGTGGTTATTATAGCTGAAAAAACATATCACAAATAATTCAGTGAGGAATCGAAAAACTACTTTTAAGCAATTGCTCTTAGTTTCAAATATGACAGGATAACTTCTAGAAATAACGTAAGGCATTTTAATTAGTAACAATAATCAGTTCAATTATGTAGTTGATACAACTCACTAACCAAATGAAAATGTAACTATCTATTGAGTTGACATATCTAGTTAGCAATATACACCTAGACTCCTTAATATTTACTACATCATACCATCATGCGCATGGAATCGCCCAAAGATATGTATGAATTAAATAACTAGCAAACGATCAATGCTTTCTGCTTTCATAGAAAACTCTTAAACAAAGTACACAATTTAGTATGTAGGTGGACATTTCATCTAGAACACAGGTAGAGTGAAATGGGGAAACTTGAGCTTGATTTTTACCTCCTTCCAGAAGTAACAACACTTTCAAAGTAAATAACATGGTGATGCCCTTGACTATCACTTGTTTTGGGTGTCTTTATTGTACTAGATCCACACTTTGAAAACTTGCTGCCAACTCCAAAAATAAGTGAATCAAAGAAAGGATATTTAACAGCCATCCTTTTCCTAAATCACCTTTTATTTGTGATACGACATAACTACTGATAATATTAGCCGTTTGTGTGGCATAACTAAAACTAATGAAGCAGGCAATGAAACTAAGCCCTCTAATCTGAAAATTGCTGCCTTTGATCTTGGTAATCGTCAAGTGACCCATATAGCATGGCAGGATTTTAATAAATGTCCCAACCAATCTTAGTTAGGATGCTACGAAATACAAAGTTGATCACTAGATAATGGTGATCACTAGACAGAATCCAGTAGAAACAAGACAATAGTTTGAATGAGATCACTAGAGAATATCAACTAGCTGAAATTCACGAAAAACCAAAAAATGACCTGTTAACGCCTATAGCTGATATAAAAACAACCCATGGGAAGTAGAGATATCGAATAGGACTCAGGAAACGTTATTGGATCGCAGATAGATGCAGAAACACTTAGATCAGCAAAGGTAATCTCAATCACTTTTACTAAAATGAAGATAATATCGAATTCAGAGATAAAAACAAGGTTAACGTGTCACATTTCAACCCGAACCAGCTGTGTTAAGATGAAGGATAACAGGCAGTCCATACAACAGAATTGGTTTTAAGTTTATGATGCAACTGCGGATGTTCGAAAAGTCCGAAATGATGAATAAAAGATTCAAATCCAAAAATACATGGATAGTTTTCAGGTAGTTGTATACTGGTTTGCAAGAGACCAAGACATTTATTTTAGCTACTTAAAACCTTAAACATGTGTACTTTAAAACGAAATGAATTATCATAAAGTACCGTTAACAAGTCTTTGATCTTCTGGAAGATGTTGTTACTTCGCCATAAACAGACTTGGCTTTAAGCTATGCTGTGTGAGGGACAGTGTAATTACGAACGTATCCAGGCCGAAGTAGAAGAAAAGTGATTCAAACTTGGAGCTTACTGGTTAAAAGTTAAGTGCATTTAACATAGTAATTAACCATTAAACAGATTAAATACATTCAAAAACTTCTTAGAAAGGTCGTCTTTCTGTAGAATAAAACTCATGAAACATATAAGACAGGAAATTTTTCATACAAGCAGTAACAAAGAATGAAACACAAACGTACGTCTCGATTCCTCCGACTTTAGCGAATTGGGCACGGTACTCTCTGATACGAAGCATCATTTGAAGATTTCGAGCCACAGTTTGATCATACTGGTTATTCTGTAAAGAATAAGAAAAACAGCCATTAGCTCAATCCGGTAGTCAGAAAGGATTTTAATTTAATATGTAACGATGAATATAAAACACGAAACGACGCGAATTATTTACAATGTACAGGATTATCTTGGCTATACGGTTAGTGAAACTACGTGACTGTTAGAACTGAAGTGGGTGTTGTGTGGCACGAAACATGAACATGAATGTACAATATACATTACGATGGATACATCCTCCTCTATCTGCAACAAACATACAATCTGCCTTTAAACTATCACTGCCCCCCCAATGCCCTGGTACGGTAGAGAGTGGGGAGAGTCAGCTTTTCCTCTCCAAATGCTTTCAAGTGATTACGTGCATACATCCACTGACACGGAAGTCATACTCATTACCATCTCGCATTACGGGTGTTGTTTACGAAATTGAGAGGAAGAAAAGCGAATGTCTGGCACACTAACCGGGTTGATGGATATAGAGGATCCACCTAGGGAAGTTGGAAAACCTAGATTCCAAACCAGTGGTGCACATGAACTCCAGTATCCTGAGGGAGCAAATAACGTATGGACCTATTGCTAGTCACCGACTACCATGAGACTGCATCTCCTGACGTTACTCCACTCTCTTGTGAATCAGACCTTCAGGTCGAAGTCTCGAGGTGTGGTCCCCTAAAAAAATTAGCCGCTCCGGTTTGGGCACCCGGGCAGTATCCCAGTCCTCACATAAATCGAATGATTTATTTGGCTCATATCTATCTGGTGCCTCCTTGCACCAATGTTTATGTATTTAAGTAACAATAATAAAGTATTACTGAAGGAGAAATTAAGATAAAAACTTAAAAATAAGGATACTACAAGACTACTGTTTTGTTGTGATCGATGATAGGAGTTAAATAAACGAATAACACAGGCTCCTGAACTTATATTCTCAAAGTGTAAGTTTTAACCTGATGTATAATAGCTTTGATAACTTGGATTATAGATTTATATACCAGATTCTATGGTGCAGTCTAAACGGACCTACGGGAGCAAGTGACGAATATTTAAAAACGAGCTGAAAAGTCAAAAATTAGCTTAAGTTTTAGAGCAAAATATTGTGTACACCTGACACTCTCTGAAGTGAAAAGAAGCTTACGGTTATTGTCAGTTGTTCACGTAGCCAATTTAAATAATAAATCAAGTCATTTTCCTCCATAAGTTGGGAAGACCAGCATGCAAACTTTGCAATTATCCGGGAAGCTTGGTACATACAGAAAGGATCCCCTCTTTGGAAAAATCCGAAAAAATGAGACCAAAGTGATTCTTTTGACTTGGAGAAGTAATCACGAAAGATTTCAACACGTAATTTGTCTTCCTAAAACTCAATGGCTGGTGAAGTAACAACATACCTGAAGCATATCATCAATAAGTGTAAGGATATATCGTAATGTTTGTTCTTTTGAGATTTTATTCAGGATAAATATAAAAACCCTAGCGGTCTTTCGAACAATAAGGGCTGAAAAGCCCACTTACCATGTTTTCATCAGCCCTTATTACATGATTTCGTGCTTCCGCAGTGGGAGCATTATCAAGTCGTGTTATGAATGAATACTGCTCATCATTAATTATTTGTCCTCTGAAACCAAGTTGTACATCCACACATCTAAGAACTTACTGAAGGTAAGATTGCCAGTTTACTCGTGTTGATCTAACCTCAGCTGCTGTGGCCTGTAGAAAGCTGGTGGTTGAACCGACTAGATGCAAGTTAATGTATGGGAATGAAACTACTTGACGTGATATCTTCAATATTACCAACCCGAGCGTATTCTAACGACATCCCTGAAATTTCAAAACAGCCACCAAAATATTCAAAATTTCAAATATGAAGCAGATATGCTAGAAAGAGTCCAACGACGAGCTACTAAGATGGTACAGGGTCTATCCGGCCTATCTTATGAAGACAGACTGAGACACCTGTGGTGTTTGAATGAACCAATGATACCTTTGTACTGGTTGAATGTTTGATTTCGAATTCTAAATACAATACATTCGTTTGTGCCTGTGTCTTCTTAATTCAATTGCGTTAATCCTGGAATTCCTAATTCATACGACAATTAGAATACTATATTGGCGTCGCGAGCAGGATTCGAACCTGCGCGGGGAAACCCCATTGGATTATATACATCGCTTGGTTCATTTCATGACTTTATTCTGGACACAGGCAGTATATAGTCCATTATTTCATTCAAGAACTTGAAAGCTTTAGATCCTAACGTTGTTGTACGACCCACTGAAGTATCAATACTGGGGATTACTGGACACAGACTGCCCATACGAGGATGTTGTGAATTGCTAATCAGAGATGATAATTCTTCATACATACCTTGTGAATTTTTAGTTAGCGAAACAGGACTGTCAATATTGGGTTTAAAGAATTTGAAAAGGCTTAAGGTGGAGTTGTCCTTCTTAGTTTCTAAAGAAAATTCTGATACTTTACTTAAAGATTTGATAGCTATGTGTGCTAAATGCAGTGGAGGTATGAAAATTAAGCCTATAAAACTTCAAGTACAGGGTGATCCCGTCTTTCTTAAAAGACGAATAATTCCTTATGGTCTTCGAGAAGCAGTACGTAAGACATTAAACGATTTGTGTGTGAAAGGCATAATTGAACCAATCCAGTCTTCAGCATGGGGTACTCCTATCGTTACGCCACTGAAGTCGGAAGGCAAGACCCTTAGAATTTGCGGTGACTATAGATTAACTCTGAACTCCCGTTTGTTGAAGCAAACGTGCACGACGGTAGAAGCTGAAGATATTCTAAATCGACTTCATGGTTCTAAAGTGTTCTCGAAAGTTGACCTAAAAGATGCTTATCTTCAAATTCCTTTAGATGAATCTTCGTCTATTTTGACGACAATTAACACTCCTTTTGGTCTGTTCAAATACAATTTCCTTCCATTTGGTCTAAGTTGTTCTCTAGCCATATTTCAGGAAGTTATGAATAAAGTAGTTAGTGATCTTGAAGGTGTTGAAGTTTATCAAGATGATGTCATTGTTCATGGCTCTAATAAGGTGGTTCATGACCAGAGACTTATTGCTTTATCGCGTCGTTTAATTGAGAAGAATATAACAGTGAATCCAAATAAGTGTTCATTTTGTGTATCTAGTTTTGAATGCCTTGGATACCTAGTTGATGGTAATGGTTTTAGACCAGATATGAAACGACTAGCTCCACTGACTAATGCACCGTCTCCGAAAAATCTTACAGAATTACGTTCACTAGTGGGTGCTCTTCAATACTATTCCCGTTTTATTCCTAATTTTTCTTGTCGTGCAAATTGTTTATTTAATATTTTAACATCAAATTCATTCAAATGGAGTGAGGAACAAGAGTCATGCTTACGAAGTCTGCTGAAGTTTCTTCAAAGTGATGCTGTTCTTCGAACGTACTCCCCTAATGTACATTCTGTGCTTATTACTGATGCATCACCTGTGGGCATTGGTGCAGTTTTGGAACAGGAAGGTAGACCAGTTATTTGTGTTTCACGCAAACTTATTGTTACTGAACAAGGTTATTCACAGACTCAGCGAGAAGCATTAGCTGTGTTTTGGGCTGTTAAAAAACTTCATAAATATTTATTCGGAAAGAAATTCACTATTGTTACTGATCATGAAGCTTTAAAGTTTATTTATCATCCCGAAAAATCCTTAGCACGTTCCTCAGCTGCTATGGTTCAGCGATGGAGTATTGCTTTGAGTGCATATGACTATACGGTTCAGCACAGAAGTGCCAAACAGATTCAACATGTTGATTACATTTCTCGACAGTCATTACAAGATAAACCTATTAATACTTCGGATTGTTTGTTAGTGCAACCTTTACCAGTGAGACGTTCAGATCTCATTAGCGAAACTCGTAGATATTTTGGATGTATACTCAGTGCTATAAGGAAAGGTTGGAATGCTAATTTGAAACGGAGATTTCCTATCTATTTTTCAAAGCGGGATGAGTTATCTACTACTCCTGATGGTATTCTGTGTTTAAACGATCGTGTTGTCATTCCTCCTTCATTGCGTAAATCTGTTCTTGAAGATCTTCATAGTGGTCATTTATGTGTTGAGAAAATGAAGTCCTTGGCAAGGCTCACATGCTGGTGGCCAGAGATAAATGCAGATATATGTCGTACGGCAAACAATTGTGAGAAATGTCATCAGTTGAAAAATCATCCTTCGAAGTGAGTGCCATGGCCAGTATCGTCTGAGGCCTGGCAGAGGATTCATGCTGACTATTGGTAAATACTACGCACTAGTAGTCATTGATTCTTTTTCAAAGTGGCCTGAAGTTTTTTTACAACAAATTCTGATTTCACAATACAAGCATTAAGAAAGGTGTTTAGTCGAGAAGGTGTTCCCTTGATGTTGGTGACTGATAATGGCTCACATTTTGCTGCAGATGCAGTCACTACCTGGTTGAACGGTATAGGGTGCAAACATCTATTTACTGCTCCCAGACATCCGTGTTCTAATGGTCAGGCAGAGAATTTTGTTAGGACACTAAAGACTGCTATTGATTCTATAGCCCCCTCAACATTTAATGAGCTGGAGAGGGGAGTAGATACCTTTCTATTGCAATATAGAAATGCCAAACATTCGGTGACGAAGGAGACTCCAGCGAAGCTATTGAAAGGAAGAATTCTTCGGTCGAATATGAGATGTCTGGAGTCTGCAGAGGTTACATACTATCGAGGAAATGATCTTCGACCACCTACGGGTATTGTTCTGAAGAATGTCGGAAAATCGATGGTGCGAATTCTAGACATCGATGACTTAAGTACACACAGTCGACATGTAAATCAAATACAATTTCAGGAACCAGATGAGTCAGTTCCAATTTCGATTGTTAATTCTAATGCTAATGAGCATATTCTAGATAATACAGAATCCTTATCCAATACAATGTCAGACAGACTCAGGATGAATTTGAGAAGAAGACGTACGATTGATTACAAACACCTAGACTCCAATTTAAGCTGTGGCGGATGTGGTGTTTGAATGAACCAATGATACCTTTGTACTGGTTGAATGTTTGATTTCGAATTCTAAATACAATACATTCGTTTGTGCCTGTGTCTTCTTAATTCAATTGCGTTAATCCTGGAATTCCTAATTCATACGACAATTAGAATACTATAACACCTTAACTTATTTCCGTTATCTTACCGTAGAGTACGGGGTGATCTAATATAGTCTTATCGTATACTGAACGATGACTTTGGTATTCAAATGGTTCAAATGGTTGTGGACGGAATAGAAGAAGCTTTCGCTTAACAGGCTTCCGTGTCTAGTAGCAGGGGATCACCAAATCCTCCAGGCAGGAACCTAGGTATGTTAACAATAAAAAAGGAAAAGAAATTGGTAAATCATAGTGTGATGCTGTCCTTGATCCTTAAGAATAGGTCGAGTTGACTCTTGAAGGACTCCTGAGAAGTTGCTTGGACTAGCTCGGCTGGTAGCGAGTTCCAGCTTTTGACAACTCTTAAGGAGTAGAAGTTGTGTCTACATTCCCTCTTGCTATGTTGTGTTTCCAGTTTCTGGGTGTTACCCCTTAGGTTCTTATTCGAACTAAGCTTAAGTAAGTGTTTAAGAGGATGTGCAGAAGTGTTTAGAATACTATAAGCCATTAATAAATCACCTTTAAGACGCCTATACTCTAGTGGGTAAAGGTCTAGTGAATGGAGGCGTTCTTCGTAAGGTTTAGATTTGAGTCCTCGAACTGATTTCGTGGCTCGACGTTGGATACGCTCCAAAGTGACCTTGTCCTTTTGGAGTGAGGGAGGGAGTACTATGTTTCCGTACTCTAAATGGGGACGGATGAAACTATTGAAGATTGTATGGAAAGTTCGTCCGTCAAACTGTCCAAAAATGCGCTTCAACGTTACCAGTGCAAGGTTTGCTCGGAAGGCATTTTTGTCACAGTTAGCACAAGACTTTAAATCATGGGGCACCAGGACTCCTAAATCTTTTTCGACTTGGGATACTACTAGAGAGGAGTTTCCTAAGTTGTAACTGTAGTTTGCAACATGTCGCAGATGGACTACTTTACACTTTGAAGTGTTAAAGGTAAGTCCGTTATCGTTTGCCCAACTTTGAAGTCGCGTCAGATCCTCCTGAAGTGCCTGTATATCGTCTTGGTTGCGTATCTCTCTCCAAAATTTCACGTCGTCGGCAAAAAGTAATAAGTCTGACGTTACCTGTTGAGGAAGATCATTTATGTAGATCAAGAAGAGAAGAGGCCCTAGTACTGAGCCCTGGGGGACCCCACTAGGACATTCCATAGCCTGAGATAAAGTGAAATTAACTCTAACCTTAAAGTGTGGATTTTTTAGGTATGAAGTAAGCCAATCGATTAGGGGTGGTTTGATACCTAGTCGTTTGAGCTTATTGGTAAGACACAATTGGTTAACCTTATCAAAAGCCTTTGAGAAATCAAGGTAAATGATATCAACCTTTCCCTTACGATCGAGGATGCTTGTCCATCTGTCAACCGCAGTCAGCAGGTTGATTATACAAGAGTAACCCTTCCTGAAACCATGCTGTTGGGGTGAGAAGAAATTTAAGGACAGTAGATAGTCGTTTAAACCGTCGCATATCAAGGACTCCATGAGTTTTGAAGGTAATGACAGAAGAGCCACCGGCCGATAACTTGAAGGTTCATTGCGTCGACCTCCTTTGAAAATTGGGTGATGTGAGCCAACTTCCAATTTTCCGGTAATTTGCCTCGGCTTAGCGTGTGTGAAAACATCACGCTAAGCGGCGTTGCCAGGATTGAGGCTGCCTCCCTCAGTATGGCAGGATGAACCATATCCGGGCCAGGAGATGTATCT